CTGAGGTTTCACATGGCAGCAGTCACAGAAGGATCAGCTGCTTCCATCTGCACAGAGCTGGAAACCTCGTACTCATCCCACCCGTGGAGGTCAGGAGGGTATTATGGGCAACATGAAATACACTCCGAGGTCTGCAGGTGAAACCCAGCTGGGGAGAGGCAGGAATATTGCACACATGAGTAGGAGGGAGCAGAGCTCCAAACAATGTTGGGAAATCGGGCAGAAACAAACAGGCAGCTGCAGACAAGGACAGGTCCTGGAGGGAACAGTGACACTCGTGTAGGATGGAGAAGTTCCTCAGTATCAGCCCGACAGTCCAGGGTTTGGCTTATGGGGAGCTGCTCCACACTGAGTCAGCCCATGGAAATAAAAAAGAGAGGCAAATGTCCTTAAAGTGAACCTCTGACTATGCTTAGCTGAAGGATTTGTCATGTTTTGGGTACTGTGGATGGGTGCAAAGAGTCCAGGGGACAACAGTAAAATAATTGGAGGGGTAGAAAATGTCTGCAAGCTGGGGCTGAAAGAGTTGTTTCAAGGGCAATAAAGGGAAGGAAGGCAGCATGTAGGAAATACTCTTGAAGCTTAGAAATGCTTTTGCCAGTAGTGGACAATAAATAATGGGCTTAAATTGCAGCAAGGGATCAGGAAAATCTTTGTAATGGGGAGGATAAGGAAGCACTAGAGGAGCTGGGAAAAGGGGGTCCTGATTGTTTTAAGGGAGCAGAGATGTTAATCCAGGATCTGCCACCACTAAGCTCCTCCTGCCTTGAAGAAGGGGAGGATGGTGGAGCTGATGACCTTTACTGGTCCTTTCTTCATTTTGTCACTTCATGATTCCTACATGGAATGTGTGCAGAACACCCATGAGATGGCATCTGTGAACGTATCAAGAGCTTCTTGGCGTTTACGTGACATTTACTTTGGCTCAGGAAATAAAAATATAAAAAGGAAACCTCCCATCATGCGCCTTGGATCTTTCTCCATGAACTTGCTGCTGCTTCTTGCCAGAGAGAGATGGTTATGTTGTTTCCAAGGGACTGCACCAGTGATAAAATAGTAAGGGATTTTCCTATGTCATAGAGGAGATAGCCCTGACTTGGGTATCTCCCAAGAGAGAGGCCACTGGGACTTTTATGACACAAGATTTTTTCCCTCCTGAAGTCTGCCTGCTTTATTCTTCCTAACGGAGGTGAGGTGAAAAGGTCTCTGCTGCTGCCTTTTAAATCTTGCCAGAGGCTGGAAGAAAAGGAGAGGGGAAGGGCTATTCCTTGTAAAAGGACTGGATGCTATATTGGGGATGGAGAGACACTCCAGAGCCAGCTGCACACTTGCAGAACAAAACAATGTGCAGCCTTGTGGCTGGTGCTGGCGGGGACAGCCCAGGTGACAACTGCCCTCTCTGTCCTTCCTACCCGTCTTCCACCCTTGTGACTCTGCCCAACATTTTCCAAGACTATAACATCAGAACAATCTTGGAAAATGTGGGATGGTCAGCCAGCCATCCTTTAAAAAGCCATGGAAAGGAAGCAGTTGCTAATTTGGGGAGGAGGTTGGGAATGCTGGGAAGAACTGCCTCTCCGGGTGAATGTCTGCCTGCTTTTCCTATGCTTCTCGTGCATTAATTATTCCTGGAAAGCTTCCAAGCACAATTAAACCTCTGACAGGTAATCATTGGTGGAGTGGTGTCCAGGGTGAGTAACACAGGAATCAGGTATTTCTTTTTCTGGCACCAAATTGTTGCAGAAAATTTTGAAAGTCAAAAATAGAAGGAAGAATAATCTACTCATTTAACAAACTCCCCAGATCTTGACAATTTGCCTCATTGTGTCTCATCTTCTGAGAGCCACTAGGGGCTTTGTTTTGGGGTTTGTCTGTCATAGTTTGGGGGACTTTGGGTCACAACTTGGACAGGGTTTGGTGAATTTTTTGGGATGAGGAAGAAGGAGCTCTGCCAGCACATACTGCAGCCTGGGAACTGTGGCAGCTGTGGAGATAACAGCCTTCTGGAGAGGTCCTGGCAGGTCTGTGTGGGAGGCTGCAGGACTGGGATGCATTAAACAAGTAGGTGAGATCCCAAAAGCAGAATTGGAGCCTGGGGTTTGTGCAGCAAAGGAGGTTAATGAGAGGAACTCAGATGGACAGAGTTTGCTGGAGTTCAGTGGACTCTCTTAGAGTCCATCAGTGTTTCTGAGGGTTATGCTCACATTTCAGAATTTAATTTTTTAAGATTTTTAATATTTCCATGTTTTTGCCATTTCCTCTATCAGTCCTTTTTGCCTGGTGCTGGTATCAGTAATCCAGCAATTTGCTGAGGAGTCAGTGCCTTCCTGCTGTGTGTAGCATGGGAACTGCAGCTGTGCTTTGGCCAGATGATTTGGAAGGGTGATTGTTCTCTGCTCTCTCCAGTGTTTTCCATCCCAAGCTGTGGACATATTACACAAACTTTAATTTGAATACATCATCCCTTACGAGGTGGAAAGATTTCCAGGGGAGAGTGCAGAAAGTCTGCAGACAAACAGGTTTTGTTGCTCTGTGTTGAGGCACCTCTTCAGAAACACCACTTAATTTTTCTCCATGCTCGTCAGCAGGTGCCTGGGATTTTGTTTGTTCTTCCCCTTCCCCAGAAGGGATACCAGCACCAGAACATGCTGATTTCCAACAGAAAGCTCCTGGCTTTCTGAGCCTGTTCCCTCATTCACCACTGCTCCCGATCGGGACATGCTGGGCCTGTGCTGCTGGCAGGCGAGCTGGTGAGTGTTGTCACTTCATGCAGAGCAGCTGAAGCTGTAAAGCCTCCAGGTCCTCCAAAGCCTCCATTTAATCTCCTTCTTGGAGCTGTCTGTGCACTGCCATCACCTGCTGGACCCTGCTTCCCAGTGCTGGGCTGTCTGTCAGTGTGATCCTCCTGCAGTGCTTTACCATGGAAGCACAGCCCAGTGGTGCTCGCACTCCTCACACCCTTCCTGGTGGGATCTTGGAGTGGATAAACATCTTCCACCCAGGAGAAACAGCAGAGGAGGGATTACTGGCGTCCCGTCCTCAGCATGGACCACACAGCAGGAATGACGGAGGCTCCTGGAACTACGAGCCTCTTCCTCCCAGCCTCTGTGAAGTTGCTAATTTGTGTGTTTGATCCAGATTTGGGAAACAGGACCCTCCCTCAGCTCCCTGCCTAGGGCAGCAGGGGTTTGTGAGGCGGATTGTCACAGGCTAATGACATTACAGTGCTGAGTCACCGGGGACAGTTTTGTGCTGTTGATCTGTGATAGCCCAGCCCTAAGGCACTGCTTTCTGGGGCTGGAGTTCACAACAAAACTCCCTGCAGTCCAGGGAGGTGTGTGTGTGTGTACACATCAATTTTATCCCGTTGTATCACTGCTTGTTAGTGGGAATTTTTAATTGCAAGGCATTACAGTGAACTGTTGCTCCCTCAGCATTTCCAAGGTTCTCAGCAGAGCTGCTTGGACTTTTTATCAATTCAGGATGAGTCTTTTTTTGGCCGACTACTGTAAACGACATAAGGCTTTAAAAACTGATCAATAATCCTGATGGTAGTGGCAAAATCCAGGCCAAGGCACTGTGAATGCGAGCCAGAGATTACGTGGAGGAAGTTTTAAATACCTCTGGCTCCCTTCCTTTCCGTGCATTTACTTTGTCCTCCCACTTCCCACTGCTTCTCCAGCTGAATCCATTAATATTTCTCATGCTTGTTGAGCCCGTGACAGGTGATATAAAAGCCCCAGTTTGCTTTGGCACCTTCGCTCTTCATAACCAGAGCTGAAACACATCGCTGCTGTCCTTCAGTGGATTAGCTGTGATTTATTGCTGTTGTTCCAGGCTGGAGCACAGAGGTACTGTCTCATTCCAGGAGGGTTGTCTGTGGGAAGCAAGCCCCCCGAGGAGGACAGCTTGACAAACACCCGCGCTTGGGAACACGACATTGTTTAGGTGCCTGTTTTAACTTCTTCATTGAGGAGTCATCCTCCTCCTTGCCTCAGCAAAACCTACTTCACAGGCTTAAAGAGGAAGAAAATGTGGCAAAGAGGCATCCTGGGTTGGATTTGTTGCCCTGCCTTTGATAAGGAAGTTGTTGCGGTTTAGGGGTTGAAGTTTGTACGAGCAGTTTTGGCTCAGGTTTGCAAGGAGTGAGCAGTTTGATGTGTAATTCTGCCTCTCCCAAAACAAGTCTTCAGCCTCTTGTCTTCCTTCAGAAAATGGTTGTCCCATCCCAAGGGAGGTCTGCTGGGTAGTTTGTGGGTAATGGAGGGGAACGGACCTCAGAGAAAGAAGGGTTTCCAGCATCTGAACAGAATTGTCTTATGGGAGAAAATGTGGTGTCAGAAATGACTGTGTGCTGCTGGCTTTCCCTGACTCAGGATAAATGACTCTGAGGGGAGAAGTGGAGGAAAACTTGCTTTCCGGGAGCTACCACAGGGTTGCCTGCCTTTCATCATGACCTGAGTGGTGTGTCCTTGGACCCAGTCCCCAGGCTGGGAGAGGGGGAGAGAGGAGCACTTGGGTCTATGGTAGCTTGCAGGCTGACCTGTGAAATATGGATTATCCATCATCCAGTTCTCTCCTTCTCTTGGGAACTTGTGGCTTTTGGGGAGGGCTGTGTGGCTGTAGTCTGTGCCATCCCCCACAGATCCTGGGATGCTGCTGCTGTCACTCTCCTGACACCTGCTCTGTCCCCATGGGAGATGCGAGCATCCTCAATGAGCATTTCCCAGACTTTTGGCTGTGGCTTGAAAGGCAGGGCACATCCCTGGGGTTTTTGCTTGGAGGTGCTGGGTCTGGGGTTAAAAGTTAACAGTGCTCTTTACTTATTCCATTCTAATTCAATTTGGGAAGGCAGCAGGGAGATGGAGGGCACTTAGTCCTCTAAGTGCTATTCCCTTGATGGGAGTTAGTAGCTTGCACTGCATGCGTGGTGTTGATTCTGTAAGCTGACCTTTACTTCCATCAGGTTCATTCTCATTTATAATACTTAAAAAAAAAAATCCCAACCTTCATTCTCTTATTTATTCCTTGGGCATCGAGGACATAAATCCTTCAGCACGTTTGGATTTATAGAATTACTGTGCTTTTGCTGAGTCTCGCGTCCCACTCCAATCAAATGACATGGCTCTGCGGGTGATTGCAATTCTCCTCCCCTGCCTCCCTCCTGGCTGCTCCTGATGCACATCTCCTCATGTTCCCTGCAGCCTTTTTGGGGGAAGGTGGGCCCTTGGCAGCCATAGGAAAGGACAGGAAGAGGAGTCGGCCAGTCTTGGGGGTATCAGCAGTTGCTTCTGAAGGGCAACAACCTCCAAGTACCTTCTTTCCTGGTGCAGAATAAAAAATGCTAAGATGCTTTCCCAGGAGACATTTCATTAGCTGTGCTCCAGGGCTCCTCTGAAACCAGAGCGTTTCTGTGTTGGCTGCAGAGAGGGGGGAGTTATAAATATCTTTCTTGGCTCTGCTTGGCTTCGCCTCAAGATAAATAGAAGTGAATGTCAAAAGCAGAGGCTTGGCTGTCTGCAGTCTCTTCCCAAGTCCCCAGGGACCCAAGTGCAGGGTGCTTTTGTGATGGGAAGCCACTTCCTGGTGTTTCAGAGGTCTCCGAAGATCGCTCCTTGGTGTTTCAGAGGTGTTGGAGGGTGATGTTTGAGGGGCCTCTCTCGACACTGCCTGAGGCAGGTCACAGATGTGCAGTGATCTCCATGCCTTCTGTGCAGTGGCTTCTGTCATGGGAAGCCTCAGGGAGCACAGGAGCATCGGTGAGAAGCTGACCTGAAACAAGAGCAGAAAAAAGTGTCTGTGGTTGTCCTCTAAATCTTGTAGCATGTTTACTCTCAGAAAGTACAGCCATATTACCAAAAATCAATAGTTCTAGCAGCGTTCCTCCCTGGGAAACACACAGCTGCTTGAACACATGGGAGGTGGTGAATCTTAAAAAAGCCAAGGGAATACAAAGTGCTTTGGTACAATGGCTTTGCTGCACTTTTAGCAGTGTACAAATGGAGGGCCCTTGACCTGGGCAGTGTCTTTTGGGGCTTCTCAATCATCCTTCTGCTGTGACATGCCTGAGGCTCTGTGAGGCAAGAGGGGCTTGGGGGAGGGTTTGTCTCCTTAACTAATTTTTGGTTTGATGTATGTGTGTTTAGTAAGAAAAACATGTGGTGTCCAGCAATGGCATAAACAAAACTCTTCCTTTGGTTTTTTTGTGGAAAGGTTTGACTTCTAGCGCTGCTGATGGGTCTGGCACATCCCAGCATTTAATTTGTTTTCTTCATAGAATTCTGGAATGGTTTATGTTGGAAGGGACCGTAAAGTCCACCTTGTTCCATCCCTCTTGACATGGATAGGGACGCTTTAGATCAGAGTGCTCCAAGGCCCAGCTAACCTGGCCTTGCACTTCCAGGGACAGGGCAGCTTCTCTTGCCATGGCCTCCCCACCTCACAGGGAGGAATTGTTTCCCAGTATCTGAATCACGCTCTGGCAGTGGGAAGCCATTCTTCTTTGACTCCATGCCTTTGTCCAAAGTCCTTGTGCAGCTCCCTTGGAGCCCCTTTAGGCACTGGAGGAGGCCCTCTTCAAGCCCTAGTACTCCTTGCTTCCCGGCACACCTACCTGTCCCTCTGTTGGGAATCACGAGAGAGGCTATTGCTGTTTTTCCTGGGTGCAGAGTGCTCTGTGATGGGAAGGAATGACAGTGAGAGCAGCCACTGTGACAGGGACATGTGTGAAATTTTGGGGTGAGTGGGCACAGTGGCAGAGTATTGCAGTGAGTCCCAGAGAGCAGGAAACCATCCTTCCTTCTGAGGTCAGCCAAAACAAAGAGAAAGGTGACCAACCCCTTTTTACTGCCATCTCTTATTAATGAGATATTTTATCCTAAGTCCTCCAGCATGAAAGATGCAGGCTTTTGGGAACATAATTAATCTTTCTTGTATAAATCTTTAATTGTATGAAATGGAGTTTGTATGGCTGTCATAATTTCTCTTCCTCTTTTCCTCCTCTCCCGGTTTGAGATGCTTCCTTAGCAGAGCTTCTTTTCTGCAGGCTGCTCCTCTTTAGGGCAGTGACCCCATGGAGCCACCACTCACAGTGTCCCTTGAGGCCATGCTGCTGCCCTGGGGTCTCGTGCTCTGCCCCAAGAGGGGCAAGGAATCACTTTCCTTATGGTTCTTTTCCTTTGTAGAGTAACAGCAAACCCAGGAATTGTCCTGAAAGAAAACTAGCTGGTCTCCTCTGGAAAAAAGGATATAGAATACTCTTGGGACAAACAACAAAAGAGCAGTTGTGCCAAATTCAGTGCCAGGCAGAGCCAAATGCCTCTTTGGAGGAGGTGAAGTGCAGCCTTTCAGATGCTAAGTAGTTATTTGGGATTTCAGTCAGTCCCTCTATGGAGGAATTGATGCACCACTGGCTCCAGGAGGATTAATGTGTTGGCTTTCCTTCTTGCCTTCTGTAAAGGGCAGGAAGGGCTGTGGGACTGTCTCAAGCCCACGCCTGCAGGGGCAGATAGAAAATTGAATAGGAAACAGATGGAATGGACATTTTGGAGATCTCCAAGGTGGGGAGAAGTCACTGCTCAGGTTCTCAGTGACTCACAGCTCTCTGGTTAAACAGAGCTTCCAAATTAGCATCTCCACCAAGAAGCTTTTCCTGAGGCACAGCTGATGTTCCCAGGTAGAGCAATTTCCTGCTGCTTAATGGAACGGGAGGAGCACTTTGCGCTTGGATGCAATGCTTTTCCAGCAATAACTTCTTGTAAGAAATTGTGATGTCATTTTGTTTGTCTGCTTCGTGGGTTGGATTAATGGGCAGGGACACACCCCCGGGCGCCGGAGTTGGCTTGCTTTCCTTAATTTGCACTCAAGTCTTTGCCGAACAAAGACGGATTTGTTGAACAAAGCGGGGTCAGTGCTGGGATGAGGAGCCTTGTGCCTCCAATCTGCTACTTCGAATTAGGACTGAGCTGTAGCTGTTAAGTCCTGCATCCTGTGGCCTGGATTGGTGCAAACCTCCTGGCCTCAAACCTTGCTCCTGCAGAGCCTGCGGCCTCGAGAGGCACCCGGGGGTGGTGCCTCCAGAGCAGTGGTGCTTCCCCACACTCTCTTAGTGACACAGGCAGCAAAACAGGGGAGGTTTGAGCAGCTGCTGCTGTACATAAAAAGAGTTCAAGTGCAGTCTTTAGTGGGAAAAATAATCTAAAGAACACTTTGATTTAAAGGCAAAACCTATCTGTGAGTAGAGGCTTTTGACAAGGCCAGCTCCTGCAAGAGAGCTGCCAGCTGCTGACTCCATTTCTCTGCTGCCCTTCAAGTGGTTTTTTTCTTCTTCCTTTCAGCTCTTTGAGAACTTCTACTTCGGGGAGGTGCAGCTGGACTCGGTGCGTCTCTCCCAGAGGTTCTCCTCGGACGCCTCTGGCTACTATGCAACATCTGGGCAGCTGTGCTTCTCTTGAGGTGGCCATAGCAGGTCTGCTCGGTGCGTAATCCCTCAGTGAAAGGTTTTAGAGGACATGAATCTTCAATGGGAACCTGGGAACTCCAAGCTGGGATGCCTCATGACTCCTCCAAAGCTTGGGAACCTTGACATTTCCCTGCAGCTTTTCCCACTGCTCTCTTCTTGGGGGTTGCCAGAGTCCTTCCTCCTTCTTCCCCCAAAATGTCACGAAGTTGCCTCTTTGATGTCTGTGGATGGCTGATTTTCCAGGAAAACGACTAGAACTGGGGCTTTTGGGACATCGCCGGTGTTGAAACACGGCTTTTTTTCAGAAGAAGGAAGTTCTTAAAATAAGTATTTAAAATCCAGGAGAGCTTTGCTGGAGCACGATTTAACAATATTGAGGTCAGGCATTGCTTGGATCTCCAGCAGCGTGCCTGTGTGATGTAGATCTCCAAATAAATGAATTCCCTTCAAAAGCAAAGTGTTTATCTCCTGTTGCATTGATAGTTTCTGTAATTAAACTTCCAGCACAGCACATAACTATGATAATAAGAAAGCACTGACGATTAGAGTGCTTTCCAGTGACCGTTTCAGAGCGTGTCAAAAAACATATGCCTTGTAGGTGGTTTCTCCATTAAAAGCAGCACCAAGCATTTTGATTCCATTGTGAATCCTTCAGCGATCTCAAGACAACGTTGTTTTTTTCCTGTAAATCTCCACATTTGCTAAAAACAGCAACACAGGATTTCAACTTGCCCTAGGATGAATGCTTTGGAAAATGGAAGGTGCTGGTGCTTGGGTGTTTTGTAACAAAACAGGTGCTGCTGCCCATTCCTAGCTGGTTCCATGGGTATGGAATCATGCTGTGGTAGAGGTGGAGAGTGTCTCAGCCAGGGATAGGGGTGCTTTAGTAGAACCCACGTGTGCTAGTGATCATTTCACCCCATTTCTTCCCTCCACAGTGAACTGGCTGTTTGGCCATGCACAAACAGCAGTGGGAGTCATTCAGGAATTGGGATTGCTTTTCATTTCCCCCTCAAATGTGTTGCTGTTTATGTTTCCCAGACCAAATGGCCTGTCTGTTTTCAAGCCTGCCTGTCAGGCAATCAAATAATCTGTGCTTTTGCTTGGGTGCCCTTGCTTGTACCCAGCTACAGCCGTTGGGCTGATTGTGTCCTTTTCCTTGGCACAAAGGCGGTCTGACGCCTTTGTGCTCTCTGAAAGTCTCCTTCCAAACGGTTCCCTCGGGGAGCAGAACACCAGCACACACTCACAGGGAGGGGAGGTGCTGAGAGCACTTAACACCAGTTGCTGTCATCTTTCCGCCAGCCTGAAGAGGTACTTGGCAAATCTCTTTGGAACAGACTCGGAGCTGCTCACGCAGCCACCAGGAAAGGGGAGATGCACCTTGGGAAGCTTCTGCCTGGCGAGCTTTTAATAACTCTCACTGAGAAGCTGAGGCAAAAATGGGTTTTTGACAATTGAAGCATACTCCTCCTCTTACCACTTGTATAAACATGATTTAGTGACAATTCTTTTGGAAGTTGGTGGAATTTCACTGGTAAGCAGCTTATCCCGCGGCTCTAGCCTGGCACAGCAAAATTCATTTCACACCTCCTTCCCCAGGCAGAATTAAGGATTCTGATCTTTTGCCTGACATCACCGGGGTTTGCTGGCAGTTTTCCTTCCCATCCTGGCAGGGAGAAGAGAAGCTGGATGTGTGCTGTGGCATCCCCAGCTGAAGCTGTGAAGGAGCTGCAGCTGGGGTAAGTTGTCACTTGTTGCCTACCCTGATTTCCCCCTGCTGAGAAGAGGGGAAAATCCAAAAGCAAAACCTTGGGACTGGGGGGAGTCTTCCCTGGGGCCCTAAAATGCTGTGCTGGGATGGGTGAGGAATGGGGACCCCAGTGTGGGCATCACAGGGAAGATGGGAGGTGCCAGGGACAAGGGGCTGTGGGATGGGGGTGTAGTAGGGACTGAGAATGCAAGATGGGGTATTCAGGTGGGAGATGTGGAAGGAATGGGGGGGATGTGTGATGGATACATGGTAAGAATGAGGGGATATGGCATGACTGGTGCTGGATGGGTATGTGGCAGGGGATGCAGGATGGGAGATGTGAAATGGGGACCTGGCAGGACCAGGGGTGCTGGATGAAGGATGTAGGACACAGCTGTTACAGGGTTGCAGGACGAGAACAAGGCAGGGACCAAGGGATGCAGGACTTCGGATGTGGGATGGAGACCGGGTAGGAACCAAGGATGCAGGAAGGGGGATGCAGAATGGAGATGTGATGGGGATGGGAGATGCAGGGTGGGGGACACGGTATGGACCGGGGATGAGGGCGCAGAATGGGGAATGAGGAATGGAGACCGGATAGGGACCAGGAATGCAGGATGGAGGATGCGGGAAGGGGGTGTGGCAGGGGATGCAGGATGGGGACGCGGTAGGAACCAGTAGTGCAGGACGAGGACCTCAGGACGCGGGGGTAGCAAGAGTTGCAGGGTGCACGATGAGGAACGAGGGACAGGGACAGGTCAGGGACGGGGGTGCAAGATGGGGACAGAAGGTGGGTCGGTGCTGAGGCCGTGCCGTGCCGTGCCGTGCCGTGCCGGCGGCTCCCCCGCCCCGGTGTCGGCGCGCAGGTGCGGCGGGCGCGGCGGAGGCCCCGCCCCGGCCCTCCCGCCGGTGCCGCCCGGTGCCGCCCCGCGGCCGCACTCGCCGGCGGCGCCTCCCCGTGCGCACCGCACCGCTCCGCACCGCGCCCGCTCCCCCCGGCGCTGCGGCAGCATGCGGGGCTGCGGCGGGCGCCGCGCCCTGCTGGCCCTGCTGGCCCTGCTCCTGCCCGCCGCCGCCGCCGGCCCCGGGCCCGCCGCCGGCCCCGCCACCGGCCTCGGGCCCGCCGCGGCGGGGGAGAGCCCCGGCAATTTCATGGAGGACGAGCAGTGGCTCTCGTCTATCTCGCAGTACGGCGGCAGGATCAAGCACTGGAACCGCTTCCGAGACGTGAGTCCGCGCCGGCAGCGGGGCGGGGGGGACGGGACGCGCTGCCGGGCACCGGGAGACCCCTCCCCGCACTCCCCGCCCCGCGGCTGCGGCTGCCGCAGCGCGACCCTCCCCGGCCCCGGCCCCGGCCCCATCGCCGGGGATGCTCGGCGGTGCCCGCATCCCGCCGCGGCCGTGGGCGGCTGCCGGCCCCGGTACCTGGGGGATGCTCACCGGCTCCGGCAGCGCCGCCGTCTCCCTGCCCGACGCCAAAGCTGCGTGGCTTGTGCCGGTGCCTCCATAGCCGGGGCTTGATTCCAAAGCGACCCTCTGCGTTGTCCGGGGTGCTGTCTTCTGCACCCTCTTCCCCGTGCCCGCCCGCCCCTTGCGGGGGCTGCGCCGTGGCCTGATACCCTCGGTGGCAGCCCAGCCCGTGTCAGGGCACGAGCATCCCCCGGGACACCGCTTCCCCGAGCCCCGCGGGGTGTCTTCGGAGCCCCGCGCGGTGCCGCAGGCGGGGCCGGCGCCGCCTCGGCGGGGTGGTGACCCCTGGGGATGTGGGGGACGTGAGGCAGGGAGGATGAGGATGCAGGCAGTGCTGGAGAAGCGCTGGCACACCGGGCTCGGGATGCTGTCACCTCTCCCCGTTACACAGCCCTTGCGAACAGCCTCGATGGCATTTAGCTGCAGCCCTTAATATTATGAGGCAGTCGGGTTTTTTCTCGGGCTCGTTTTACACCTCCTGCTCGTGTCCTCCAGGGTGGGAGACACGGTGCTGCAGCTTTATCCTAAGGAGACCCAGGACACCTGCAGCAGCCGGGCGGGGAGGGGGCACACCCCGAGCCGCCCCCCCACCCCGAGCCAGCCCCGCTGGTCTTTGTTCAGATGCACCCTCGGGTTCACCTTGGCAGGGAGGATAGGATGGGATGGATGGATGGATGGATGGATGGATGGATGGATGGATGGATGGATGGATGGCAGCAAGGGAGATATGCCCACTGCATGGCAGGGAGCACGACCCCCGAAATAAACCAGTTGGGCATCCCCGGGGAGGTTCAGGGCTGAGGGATGCCCACCCCCGGGCGCTGGCTGCACGCGTGGGGCCCACCCTGCTGCTGCCGCGCTGGGGAAGGGGGGGGGGGGATTGGTGGTGCAGCCCTACTGGCGGTTAGCTTGGATTAATAAGCAAATCCATGGATTTGTGGGGTTTTCGACTGAGCAGCGCCGGTGGGGGGATGCACGGGGAGGAGGCCGGCGGCCGTGGCGAGACCCGCGCCGCAGGGAGCTGCCGGGCGCCGCAGTGTTACCAATCACAGCACGGGAACGCGGCTATCGATTGCGGTGCAAACACCGCCGTGCTGGAGTGAGACATCCCCTCCAGAGCTGCCTCCCGTGCCGCTGCTTCCAGCTGCCATCCCCAACCCTGCCCACCCTCTCCAGGGCAGCAGGGATGCTCCTGCCTCATCACAAAGCTCACCCCGGAGCATCCCGTGGGGCGGGCCATGCTGCCTGCTGGGAGGGTTGGAGTCCCTGCTGCTCCCCCACACCCCCGGCATGCTTTCGGGGTCCTGTGGGAGCAGTTCTGCCTCCCCAGGCAGGGACATCCATCTTGGCCCACTCCTTCTGGGCTCACGGTTGAAGAACCAGGGTGGCAGCACCATGGGGATCCTCTGAGATCCTCACTGGGCTCCCAAGGGCTTCATCCACCCAATGCCATTTCCATCCCTTTCCCAGCTGGCTGATGGGGGAAGTCTTTATCCAGTGTAAAGGCTCTGCAGGATTACAGGTCTAAGCCAGAGATGGGGAAGCACACTGGTGGTCAGTGCCAGTGATATCCAGGGCTGGTGGCGAGAGCTTTGGGCACCAGAAGGTCAGGGTGCCCCACTGGCACAGGGTGCTTGTCACTGTGGGATGGGGCCAGGAGCAGGGCTTTGTGCTGTCCCAGAGCTGATGGTGGGCACTCTCTCTCTCTTTTTCTTTTCTTGCTTCCGGCTGGGCCGTCTCACTGCCATGCTGCCAGGAGGTGGAGGTGAGCCTCGAGGGGCTACCGAGGGGGTGACACCCCGCTTGTGTGGGGAGGCTGCTCCCTGTCCCTGCTCCCTGCCCTCCCGCTGTGGGGTGCCCAGGGGGTGTGTGCAGCGGGAGCCGGGCCGGTGGGCCCGAGCAGGGTGATGGCACGCCTGGCCCGGTGTCACCTCTCCCGCCACCTGCACTCACGCAGGCTCTCCCCAATTCGCAGGATGACTACATCAAGAGCTGGGAGGACAACCAGCCCGGGGATGAAGGTACCGCTGAGATGGGTTTGGGCTGGAGCACAGTGGGCTCGATGCCAGCCAGTATGGCGAGGGGTCGCACTCTCTGCTTGCACCCCCCCGGGTTTTTCCCTTCCGGCTCGGAGCGGTGCTGGGGTCGGTGCGAGCTGGGAAGCAGCAGCTGGTGCCGAGGCGGCTGCCCAGCTGCAGCCTGAATGGCGCTTTGTGCCGGGCCGGCCGGGGCTCCCCTGGAGCGTCCCCGCCTGCCCCAGTCCCTCTGTGCCCCCCCAGCCCTGGACACCACCAAGGACCCCTGCCAGAAAGTGAAGTGCAGCCGGCACAAGGTGTGCGTGGCGCAGGGCTACCAGCGCGCCATGTGCATCAGCCGCAAGAAGCTGGAGCACAGGTAGGAGCGCGGCGGCGCCGGGGCCGAGAGGCGGCAGGCGAAGGGGGGCCGAGGCGGGGGCTCACAGCCTCTCGCCCCGTGCAGGATCAAGCCGCTGGGCCCCAAGGCGCACGGGGGCTGCAAGCCCTGCCACGCTGCCCCGGTGGCTGCCGTCTGCGGCTCCGACGGCCACACGTACAGCTCGGCGGTAAGGACAGCGGCACCCGCCGCGGGGACGGGGCCCTGTGCCCCGTGTCCGCCCGCCGACGTCCCGCTGCCGCCCCGCAGTGCAAGCTGGAGCAGCAGGCGTGCCTGGCCAGCAAGCAGCTGACGGTGCGATGCGAGGGGCAGTGCCCCTGCCCGACCCCGCACAGCCCTGTCGGCGACAGCAAACAAGGTGAGCGGGGTGCAGGGCACCGGGGGACCGCCCCCGAGCTCTGCCCGGCCTGACGCTGCCCCGCTGGACCCCACAGAACTGTGCACCGGGCAGGATCTGGCCGACCTGGGTGACCGTCTGCGCGACTGGTTCCAGCTCCTGCGGGAGAATGCCAAGCAGAACGGCTCCGGTGGGCTCCCTGCCAGCCCCACCTCTGGTACCTGTCCCTGCCACGCGGGGAGGGGACGTGGGCTGCTGTCCCCAGGCGGGCCGGGCAGACACGGGCTTCATCCTACCCTGCAGCACTGGAGAGGAGCGTGGCGGCCACCTGCAAGGAGGCGGTGGGGTGGATGTTCGCCCGGCTGGACACGAGTGGGGACCTCTTCCTGGAGGCGACTGAGCTGGCCGCCATCAACCTGGACAAGTACGAGGTGTGCATCCGCGCCTTCTTCAACTCCTGCGACACCTCCAAGGATGGCCGCGTCTCTGCTCCCGAGTGGTGCTTCTGCTTCTGGAGGGAAAGTGCGTCAGGGCAGGGGGGAGATGGCACTGAGGGGCCGGGGCCTGGAGGACACTGTGGGGTCAGGAGGATGCACTCCGCGAGACTGGGGGGATCTGTGTCCTGAGGGATGCATGCCATGGACTGGGGAATCTGTGCTGTGGGATTGGGGTTGTACCTCATGGGGTTATGGGGAATCCGTGCTATGGGATTGGGGTTGTACAACGTGGGGTTATGGGGGATCCATGCTGTGGGACTGGGGTGTGGGGGATCTACATCATGGGATTGGAGTTGGGAGTGGGGATGTACATCATGGGGTCATAAGGAAGCCATGCTGTGGGGTTAGCGTGTGTGGGGGAGGGACATATGTCATGGGGTAATGGGCAATCCTTGCTGTGGGTTTGGAGTGGCTGTGGGATGTTTGCCTTAGGGGGAGAGATACACCACAGGGTTTGGGGGGCCTGGAAAACATGTGGGGATGCATGCTGTGGGTCGTGGGGAAGCACATCTTGGTTTAAGGGGGATATGCATGGTGGGGGATGCACAGCGTGGAGCCAGGGGGATACACACTGTGGAGCTGGGGGATGTACTCCGTGGGTCAGGGTGGGTGCACACTGTGGGATGCACACCATGGAGAATGCACACTGTGGGGTCTGGGGGATGCACCCCATGGGGGGATCTGGAGTTCTGGGGGATGCACACCACAGAGATGAATGCTGTGAGTTTGGGGGTGCACACTGTGTGGGGTGAGGGGTTGCCTGTCCCGGAGGGGCTGCATGCCTGCCCTAAGAGCAGCATGTGGTGCTGCTGCAGAGCCGCCCTGTCTCAGGGAGCTGGAGAAGATCCAGATCCAAGAAGCAACCAAAAAAAAGCTGGGTGAGTGGGGCATCCCAGGGCCCTTTCCCCCAGCAGTGCCCCGTGCAGCCGGGCTGGAATGAGGATGGGGATCTCCCTGGGGGGCTTTGGCACTGCACGTGTTTGGGGGGGGTGGGGGGCCATCGCTTCCCTGCAGGCACCTTCATTCCCAGCTGCGATGAGGATGGCTACTACCGGCGGGCACAGTGCGAGCCGGGCGGCGGCGAGTGCTGGTGTGTAGACCAGCACGGGGCCGAGCTGACGGGCACCCGCGGCCATGGCAGCCCCGACTGCGGTGAGAGCTGCGGGGAGCGCCCGCCTGGGGATGGGGCTGCAGCCCCGGGACCGGCCCTGAACCTCTGCCCCTCGCCCCTCCAGATGAAGCAACGGGGTTTTCGGGCGACTTCGGGAGCAGCGTGGGCTGGGAGGATGAGGAGGAGAAGGAGCCGGAGGAGGCGGGCGAGGAAGGCGAGGAAGAGGAGGGCGAAGCAGGCGAGGGCGACGACGGCGGTTACATCTGGTAGAGGAGCAGGAGAGCCCAGTGGGCGGCACGGCCGGGAGGCAGCCCCCCAGCTGGTGGTCCCCGTGGCCCCCCCGCTGCCGGTGTGGCATGGGGTGGGTGCTCCCCTCTCCGGTCCC